TTCACCATTACCATCCACAATATATTATAATAATTTTATGTTTGCGGTTTATTTTTCATTATCACAGTTAAAATAATTTTGTTTTATTTATCAATAAATAACATAATTTTGTAACAAATAATGTGCAATAAACAATATTATTTTGTAGCAAATGTGCAATGATTGGCAATAAATAACATTATTTTGCAATTACTAGATTTATTAATTATTATTTTTTAATTCGTTACAATTTTTCGGAGCATTTTTAAATATAAATAGCGGTACTGCCGTATCGGCATAAGCGCGCGCCGGCCGTGCGCCATTTTTACGGCGTAGCACCTGAATTAGGGCTACCCGTTATACAGCACACTTTCATGAGAGCGCTTTAAAACAGCAACTTTCTCGCAAGCGCCTTGTTCGAAGAGAACAATGATTGTTTAAACAATCCACTAGGAGACCTCTTTTCTCGTAACAGAAAAATGTTTCAGCATGAAATAAATAGGCCGGATTTCGGCCACAAAAGCCAGACCAGGTTCTCTCGCAGATCACACATCGTAGTCTACAAAGCGACTGCTAGTCTTTTTTGAGACGAATATCCAGCTACCAGCAACACGCTACCGCCGATGAACGCTACCACGAACGGCCTGGCCACGAGTCCAGCCATACCTACAAGGAAGGTAATCAGGCCCTGCCGAATCGTAACACTAAGCGACGAACACCGATCGCGCTGAAGGAATGTATACGGAGCACGTAGAGTAGCAAGACGCCGATTGCCAAAGAGTGGAAACTCGTGCCGATTACGCTCGAGGAAGCAGCATTGACGAGACAACCACGCCTCGCATTAGCTACAGGAGATCCGCGAATACGGAGGCCTACATCACCCCGTTGGAATCCAGAGAGACTATCTTCCGAGGCAAATCTGCAAGTGTCATCTTCATTGCCAGACTAAACGTGGGAACCTTGCCGCACAGCAGACAAGATGACGCAGACGATCGAAACATATAGCTACGATAAAGCTATGCAGACGCTTTTGACCGAGGAACAATTCCATTATACCGAGACGTTACCTCACATATCATGGTGCCCGCGCAGACAATAGTCTCCGCCATCATTTTTGAATCGGTCTTTTTTAGGGCCAGCAAAACAATTCAAACATATACCGCACACACTCCTACACACATTGTATATTAGCAAAGCACACTTGAACATACAACACACACAAACTCTTGTATAACATTATATAGCACAAAAATAAATTAGATCTAAAAAACTCTACACAACGCGTAAAAAGTCTATTAAAAAAACCGTGACACTGCGGTGAACAATCACGTCTTCCTCGAACACGCGTGGGGAATTGCGATCAAGAGAAACATTACTCGAGAAGATTCGCAACGTTGGTCCAGAGCAACGCGCTCTCCATACACTCATCGCAGAAATACGCGCAAGCGTCCCCACATAAAAAATATAAAATTTAAAATTTAGAAAATATTTGTTTGAAAAACTGCGGGAATGAAGAAAAATGGTGGACCGATCAAAAGTGGCAGCCGTATGGCGCCACTCTGATTAGAGGCTCTCTATGTTCAGCTACATCGCTTTCCTGCTTACCGACGTACAATTCGGGTACTTACCGCAGCTGATCGGATGCTCAACTTTACTTGCAATTTTCTCCAAAGCCCATTCACGGAAACCCTTTTATTATGTTTGTACACATTAAACTCCCCCCATCCCCCTTTCGAATGAGCTATGGCTCATCTCATTCCGTATTTTACAGGTTGTGGCATCTCCTTGTCAGCCTAAAATCATTACCACAAATAAAGTTAAACCAGGAATATCCTATTCACAAGTTACTTTGAATAAACCAGTAAAACCAGTATCCGATACAACTGCAATAGAACATCCCATGTTACAGCTGTTACAGACCATGATGAAAACGCTTGAACGAGTCAATGAAAGATTCGACAAATTAGAGAGCAGAAGTACTAGTGATATACAAAGTGTCCCAAAACCCACGAATTTCCTTTTAAATGAAGATTCTTTAGAATATTCTAAGACAAAAATCCTAATACAAAAATGTCGAGACTATAATAGTTTTTAAATTAATAGCGATTAAAGTTGGCTAATCACAGAGCTGACATTTTGCGCGTTCAGGCACGATGATATGACAAGTGATAGAGATGCTATGAAAACCCTCTTAATAACGCCGAGATTATCATACAAATATACAATAATATTTTTGCTAAGAAATTATTTTTTATTTTATACAAAACCTATTTATACATTAAATAATCAATTAATATCGCAACATATGAAAAAATATCAATACAATTACGAGATATTACGATATGTGTCAACTGTTAAAATAAATTCATAACTATGTTCATTTATCTCGTATGGTGAATATTTTTGTAATAGATAAACCATTTTTAACATGAAAAGAATTGAATATGTTAATACAGTAAGACTGAAACATTACATTTCTATTACAAAAATATTCACCATACGAAGTTAATGATCATAGTTATAAATTTATTTTGACAGTTGACATATATCGTAATTAAGTAAATATCTCGTAATTGTATTGATATTTTTTCATATGTTGCGATATTAATTGATTATTTAATGTACAAATAGGTTTTGTATAAAAGAAAAAATAATTTCCTAGTAAAAATATTATTGCATATTTGTATGATAAACTCGGCATTATTAAGAGGGTCCTCGTAGCACCTCTATCACTTATCATATCATTGTGCCTGAGCGCAAAAAATGTCAGCTCTGTGATTAGCCAACTTTAATCGCTATTAATTTAAAAACTATTATAGTCTCGACATTTTCGTATTAGAATTAGGATTTTCGTCTTAGAATATTTTAAAGAATCCGCACTTAAAAGGAAATCCGCGGGTTTTGGAATACCTTGTATACAAGAAGAAATAATTTAATAGAACAACAGGATATACGTATAGCTACATGGAATGTCAATGGCATACTAAACAAAAAACAGAACTTAGAAGTCTTTTTCAATACTCAGCATATAGGTGTATGCCTTATCTCAGAGACACACATGAGAAGACAACCATATATTAAGGTAAGAGGATATAAAATCTACCGCGCTATTTACCTAAACAATCAAGCAAAGGGTGGTAGTGCGGTTATAATTAAGGAATCAATCAATCATTATGAGGAATGCCATTTACAACGTATAGATATATAGCTTACAGTGGTTGGAATTAAATCTACCAAGCAGAAACTGAGAGTCGGAGCAGTATACTGCTCAACCAGATATAATATAAAACAGGAAGAATACTAGATTATCCCTTCAACACCTTGGTGAAAGATTTATAGTAAGTGGTGATTTTAATGCAAAACACGTAGAGAGCTGAGAAAAGCTATCCATGGAACAGGTTGTATATATCATTCAACAGAAAAGCCTATTTATTTGCACACGGATCCAAATAAAACACCTAATAGATTAGATTTTTTCATAACAAAAAAAGTATCATTCAACTTCATTGAAGTTGAAGAAAACTTTAACCTGGATTCAGATCATTCAGCTGTTATATTAACGCTGTTATATTAACGTTGAGCTAAAGGATAATAAAAAGAATTGCTCGGCCTACTCTTGTTAATACATATAATCACTGATTGGAAAAGTTTTAGAATTGAATTTCAAAAAAGCATTAATTTGCATATAAATCTGAGAACAACGGAACAACTCGAAAAAGAAACTGAAAACTTTACCAGGCTTGTCCAAAAAGCTGTCTATAATAATACTAAAGAGATTACTCACATAACTAAAGGATTGAATTTCGGTTGAAATCAGGGAACTTGTTAAAGAAAAGAGAAGAGCTAGAAGAAGATGGCAGCAGACGTGGGATCCATCTGACAAGACTATCTTAAACAACAAGACTTAGAGATTCAAAAGAGAAATACAAAATCTTAAAGAAGAAACAATAAACATGTACCTGCAGAATTTGTCGGCGGATGGAAGACTGATTATTCACTCTGGAATATTCACTCTGGAAAGCAACCAAAAAGATTAGTAGGCCCGTAACTTCTATTCTTCTTATTAAAAGGGATGTAAATCCATGAGCCAAGGATAATAAACAGAAAGCGAAACTATTTGCTGAACACTTGGTTGATATATTCAAGCCCAATATAGGGCAAATGGACAATATCTTGGAGAAGGTAGATAATCGTAAATCAAAACATCACCCTTGTTACTCCAAAAGAAGTAACGGAGGAGACACAAATAAAACTGATTTGATTGAAAAATTTAAAACAAAACTGATGTTAAAAAAGGCACCGGAATTTGATTTGATCACTAGAGAAATCTTGAAACAACTGCCTAAAAAGGATATTGCAATGCTCACATACCTCATTAATGCAGTTTTCAGATTAAAACATGTTCCTGCTTGCTGGAAAATTGCAGAAGTGATCATGTTACCAAAACCAGGCAAACCACCTAATGATGTTAAATCTTATAGACCTATTTTTCTTGCCAATTGTCTCAAAATTTGAAAAGCTATTGCTGAGATTAAGAATGTGCGCTTGAAGAAAAACTAGAGTCCTCCTGGGTCTTATTACTTTCTGTAACGGGACGACTGTGCCTTCGGCTGTGCCGTGGCGAGGTATCGTTATCGGAGGCAGCTTGACGACTGTGGCTCGACCAGGATCCTTCCAAAAAGACGCTGACTAATTCCAGTAGTCTACGTCGCAATCCACGATAATTAGGTACTCCAAGAGAACCAGGTTTGCTTTCGTTACCGAACTCAGGCCTATTTATTAGATTGTCAAACATTTTTCTCGTGCGAGAAAATATGTCTCCTAGCGGATTGTTTAACGCTCAAAGGCACTCGCGAAAAAGTTGATATCTTTGAGCGCTCGCGGGACAATGTGCTGTATAACGGATAACCTTACAGGCGTTTCGCCGTAAAAATGGCGCGTGCATGGCGCGCGATTGTGTCGGCGCATGGAGGACTGGAGAGAGCATATCGGTGGTGGGGGTAAGAAATTTGTAATCGGAAATGACATCACCAGTCAACCATCTAACGTACTGTTCAGCCGTAAACGGCGCTATAGTAGAAGCTTTTGATTGGCTTTTGATCGAGCATGGAACTATGGAAGACTTTATTTCACATGTTAAGAGGTTACGTGACTCGTGAGATTGTTATATAATTATATTGAGGCTATTATATTATATAAATATATTTATATATATATAATTAAAAAATGGTTAGCTGTGTTTTGTGTGGTTTTTTCAAAGCAAAAAATTGTGGAGTTACTTTTCATATGTGAGTTTACGTTATATATTATATAGGTTATGTTTCATATGTATCTGTTATTATTATTACATTATCTGATATGTGAACTATTAAAATAATTTTTCTGTAAAACAATACATTCTAGATTTCCAAAAGACCCCACAAGATATATTATATAGGTAAATTTGGTAAATAAAGGCAGCAAGTGGAAACTGAAAAAAATTACTGTCATACGTTCAATTTTACCTAAGACTGTTTCGATAAAAGTTCTCTCAGTGTGACCCGTTTCAAACCACATGCGATCCCAAGTATTTGCGTAAAACGATTAAAATATGTGAGTTAATAGAATGAAATGTTGTGACTATCCTTGCGGTTCCGAAAGTTGAAAAACATGTAACTCAGCTCGCTTCAGACTAATTAAATTTTCATAGTAATAAATCCACTCGAATTTACCGCTCTACTTAAATATCCGGGTGCGGCCATATTGGTCAACCGTCTTAGATGAAACCCCCACCACTGATATGCTCTCTCCAGTCCTCCATGTGTCGGCGCGGCAGCGTCGCCACAAAACCGTTAAGGAAGAAATCAAAAGACATGCCGGGAAGCATGAAGTCCGGATACGTGATACTAAGAAATTTGCGCTGTTGTCTCGTCGCTTTGCAGTTGCTTGCTTTGAGCGGGAAATCTTGCGAGCAGTAAACTATACATAGTGTAAATAAAATAAAATTTTTTGTGCGTGTAAAACTGTTTTTTTGTTTCTAAAGTTTTTGATCAATATAATTTTCTTGTGTACAGTATATCTCTAAAAGACTTTCTTAATTTATTAATTCTTCATACATTTTTAAAGTTTTGACGTTTAAATTCCGAATACCTTGTATATAAAATCGGAGAGTGATATGAAAGATAACAGTTAATTTATTTAGTAGCTTTATTTTTACAAAATACATATAAGTATTTTTTAATTAAGATTATTTATATATTGTATATAAGTGCTAAAAATAGTTAATTTTTCAAATGTTATGTAACACAAATTTTATATAATATAAACATAATTATGTAAATTTTAGAATATATGATAAATGTACTTCTATGAATAACGATCTATTTATTTGTTAAAAGTACATCGAATGTATAAACTATTTTTTTTTTATTTTTTATAGGTCTCCTGAAATAATCAATGAGATTTATCCTTATTTTAAGAATTGTCGCTCTAATCTTAATGCAAATATTTCCGAATTTCCCCCGCATGATGATAGCTTAATAAATGTTAAAGATTGTGCGAATTGCGACGAAAATTTGGGTAACATTGTAAATATTATGGTCTCCTATGATATGGGATGGAGCAAACGAGGAAACGGAAGGAGTTATGACAGCCTCAATGGTTACGGCGCTATCATTGGTTTCCTTAGTGAACAAATTTTGGATTTCTCCACCCATAATCGTAAATGTAAAAAATGCGATATGGGTCACTCGAGCATTGAGCACGATTGTAGGAAAAATTTCAAAGGAAGTGCTAAGGCAATGGAGGCAGATGCACATGCTGAATTAGTAAACCGTAGCAATATTCTCAAAGAGGCAGGACTCAGTGTCCGTGTCTTAATTGGTGATGAGGATAGTAGCACTATCGCATCAGTGCGTAGCGAAAGCTCACAACGTATATTTAAATTGGCTGATTCGAACCACATTAAAAAGTATTTTGGAAATGATTTGTACGAGTTAAAAAAAAGCTTAAAAAAATTGAGTAAAAAAGGCACAATTCCCAACATAATAAAATATTTCAAATATGCGGTTGCTTAAAATAAAGGGAAAAGTATTGAGTTGGCGGCTACATTACGTAGTATTCCAGATCATTTGTTTGATCATCATGAAAATTGTAAGGAGTGGTGTACACGCGAGTCTGAAAATGGCAATAAATTACAAACGGTTTTACTAAAAGATCTTAATTTTTACATTAAATTACGTGAACTGTTTTCAAAATATGCAAACAATGCAGCAAAATTTTCTGTTGCCGCTTCAAGTCAAGCGAATGAGAGTGTTAATAATATAATGTGTCACAAAACTCTTAAAAATCACTGCTATTATCTTAGCGAATCTAGCGATTATCGCTACTCAAGTACCGTATGTACTATAAATGATGGTGAAAATTATTTATTAAATGTAGAAAAAGAGTTGTGTGTATCACCTGGTAAGCATACCAAAGAATTTGCAAGTAGACGAGATAAAATTAGACGTAAAAGAACAATAAAACCAAAATTGCCTTCTACAAAATGTCGTAGTAACATTTTGAGTCAAGAGAGAACATTATTACGAGAACAAAAAGAAAAGGCAGAAGGAATTCAATATCAATCTAATTGTGGGCTTTAGACGCAGAAAGTTCATCTATTGATATTGATGTCTCACTTGTCGAAACTACGTCTCAAAATCTTGAAAAATCCCCTAATGATTACAAAATCGTCTATTTCAATTTGGAAACATCAGGTTTTAGTGAAACTGCAGACGTTCTGCAGATTGCAGTTAAATGTGGGGAACAAAATTTTTCAGTATACGTGAATCCTACACAATCAATCGCAGAAGGTGCATCTAAAGTCACTGGTTTAAATAATATTAATGGAGAATTGTTTTTGCATGGTACAAAAGTTGATTCCGTTCCCTCTCGAGATGCATTATACTTATTTTTACAATTTCTTCAATTATTATCTTAGCTATGTATACTAGTTGCTCATAATTCGATTGCAAGATTCGATGTTTCACATTTACTCCGAGCTATAAAAAGTCATAACATGATAGACGATTTTAAACAAATTATTGGTGAATTCTCTGATTCGCTGGTTTTACTTGAAAAGAAATTTTCTGATGGAAAAGGTCCAGGATCATTTAAACTATCTACATTAGTTCAGAATTTCTTGCAAAGAAATGATAACGAAAACTTCCATAATGCTACGTACGATGTTGAAGTATTAGAAAACATTGTTGGCTTAACAATTTCGAATGAAAAAATATTTAAAAATACAAAATCTTTCGTAGCTTCATTAATATATGAGACAATTACAAAACAGTCACGTTAAATTTTTACATGTTTTGAATGGTATAATCTCTAACGGAATGATTTAAAAAATGGCAACTAGTAATATTACTTAAAAAAAACTAAAAACGATTCATACTGAAAAAGGGAAAGAGGCAGTCGTGGAACTTTCGACCAAATTGAATAAAAAACCACGTGTCACAAAGAATAAAAAGATCTTAAGTGCAATTATCAAATTTCTAGATAAAAATTAATAATTTTTTTTTATTATCATTCCTATCATTTCTTTTTTCTCGTTATATTCTTATGTTGCTATCTTATTTTATGTTTTAGTTATATTAAAGAATGTTAATTATATATTAATTATTATAATAGAATACAACAAAGTTGTATTATAAGCGTTAAATATATAATTTTATTACATATTTTATTATATCAAGTATTATTATAATAGAATGTAACGAAAATGTAATTATTACACAATAGCAAAATCTCTATTTGATAAGAGCATCAGCACTTATATGTGATAAAGTGCCAATGAGCCAAAGAACAATAAATATTATTTAATATTAATTTCACTTATAAGTCATTGTGTTCTTTTAAACAAATTTTTTAACTAATAATTTCTTTTTATGTGTTTGTACATTGTCTATGTTTCGCGTGGTGCTCCGTCTAATTAAAAAATCTTTTTGCGTTTAAAGTGCGCATGCGTACATGGTTGTTACATTTTCATAACCTAACCAGAAGCTTTAACGCGTTGAATAATGCGTATGTTACATACTTTGTTTAATTACAGTTTTTAAACTAAATGGTCTACAATTTTGAAAATCTTTTGTAACATTTTGTTCGCGTTGCGACTGATGCGTGGCGGGATCTATCAGACGGGAAGAACGAACGGAACTCGACACAGTCTTATTAATAGCACACAAGAACAACGTTTATTACTGTACAATATTTACAAGAAAAGGGCAAATAAGCCAAAAAAAGGAGAAAAAAAATAAAATCACAAAAAGAATTGAGTCGCTATAGAAAGGGCCTCGGAGACTGTTCGGCTCCGGCGCGGATGCACGACAGTTACCGATTCGCGTAACACGGGCTTGGCTCGATTAGATAAAAACGAGTAGCGCCCGGCGTCTGACGACCCGGGTTTTTATACCCTGCTTCGCGGCGTTCGCGAGTGACTAATTCCGCCTGGCAACATGATCAAAAATGTTTGTCAGTGACGCGATGGCTCAGCTGATCCGCTCCTCGTTTTGACAACGGTCAGCTGAGACCGGTGACTCAGTACCCGAGTTCCTGTCAGCTGTTTTTTTCGAATTTGGTCCCGTGTTTACGTAAGATGTTTGTGCGAGCGCGACCGAGAAAAACACCATGCTGCGTGCAGGCCCGAGTGATGTCATGCAACTATTCGTTGTTTTTTTCCTGCGCCCGATTCTTGCGCCTTTCCGCGAGGCATACCGCGGATTCGCGAACACATTTATATACTCTTGTTTTATATCATATTCCTTTTTCATAACAATCCTAAGAATGGTATGGATGCTATAATTAAAAATCTGACGTTAACTTGAGTTGAGTACATGCGTCACATGTAAAAACTATAAATTTTAATTGCAATTATCTCAAAAACTAGACGGTCAATATGTTTCTAATTGCATACAAACATAGAGAGCACTTCAATTTATTTGTATTTAAAATTTTAGTACATTCGTAAGAAAGTCATTTTATGCAAGTACTACCTTAAGATTATGTTATAATTATAATTCAAAATAATTTTTTTATTGTTTAATTTATTGTTCACCCCACCAAAAATTTTTTTTATTTTTCAATTATTTTTTGCCAAATTAAAGATTATTTTAAGATTAATTGAACCATGTGTGATAAAGTTATTTTCCGAAGTATCATTTTCGAGAAATAATTATAAACGCCTCTGTGCGCATACCATCTGTGCTCGTTTACGCTATGCGCACGCAGCAATACTTCTCGCAACACGTTTTGCTCGCATTTTTGCATTTAACAGGCGATAACGATGAAAGTAAATCTATTTCCGCAATATCCTGCGGATGTATTACTATAAATCGTTTTTATCGCGTACGGCTGAACTACGCTTACAAAGCATTTGAATGTCATATAAGTGTCAAGTTAAATTGACATAAACAAATCTATTGCGGAAACAGCCTGTATTTACGTATAATCACAGAAATATTTTTGTTTGAATAATTACCCTGTTAAAAAAAATCTATAGAAAACGATAAGAACTGATAGGATCTGCCAAATATTTTATCGTGTCCTTTCGTATCTATCGTTCCACTTTTTCTATTCCGAAAGAAATGTTATCGTTTCCTATTATTTTCTATCATTATCTGATAAATCAGGAGACGCGGTAGCGTCTTCCGCCAAGTATATTTTTTCGCTACGTGACGGTCAAGAAATATTTTTGTGCTTACAGAAACGCTACAGTGTATCCTTTATCGGACGGATAACGTTTCTGTAGGAATAAATTATTATATCATTTAATTATATGGATACTATCGGTAAATGGCTATTTTGTGAAAAAATCTATATTTTTCCAATCACAATGCTGTAATAGCAATGGCCATAAGTGCATTTGGTGCATTTAAGCGCATAAAGTGTATGCATTTTTTTGCCCGATATTATGTTATTCAGATTTGTCGTCGTCGTCGTCGTCGTTATCGCCGTCGTCTTCGTCGCAAAATTTCAATCTTGTCCCCTTTTGTCTATAATTTATAATTTCGTCGCTGTTGTTGTCGCTGTCTTTTTCTTCGCTTTTTTTCATAAAATTTCAATGTTGTATGGTCTCTGGTCTTCTATATCGTCGTCGTCGTCTTCTTCGCAAATTTCAATAATGTTCAGAAATGCAAAAAAAAGAAAAGGAATGTAAAACACAAATCACACGTTTATTTCTTATTTACACTATTTACAGTTTCGCCTCTCGGCCGCGAGATCTTTGCGCAAGCGAGCGACTTGAGCAACGGGCGCGGCGCGACGATCTTGAAGCGAGCGACTTCGCGGGCTCTGCTAGCGACAGAGACTTTTTCCTTTTTCTTGAAATCTGCAAGCGACAGATTTTAACGCGTATGGTTTCGGTCGTGTGTTCCGCAAGCGACGGAACTCTCGATAGAATTCTCTTGAACACGAATCTAAGCGAAGATCGAAGCTGTGAACTCGTGGAACGGTGCAAGAAAACAGAACCCCGTCGCCGGTTTGCACCCTTCTTTTATACTCTCTCAACTCTAGAATGTTCTCGAAACTCCTCTATGGGGAAGTGACGTATGGGGAGGAACATTCCAGAGTCGTGAGAGCAGATGATTTTTTAGTTCAACAACAATAGTTGTTGACCAGATTCCAAGCTTGTTATTCGAGCTTGGGCGCCCAGTAGCGGGCGCACATTCGAATTCTCCCCACATGGCGCCGGGAGACGTATGGCAGTAGAGCGATTCACCCCGTGGTTCGCGCGGAAGCCGCTGGGCGGCGCGCGCGAAACACGGTGCGATTAATTATGGTCGGGCAACTCCGAACATCAACCTTGTCCCTTTTTTCAATCTTGTCCCTCGTCTTTCTTTTGGCTTTCTCGTTTCTCTCACGACTTTCTCGTCTGTTTCTCTGCTTTTTAGTCTCTCTCACAACTCTCTTGTGGTCATCGTCGAGGAAGTGAGTGTCTACGTGTTTGCCATCGAGGAATTGAATGTCTAGGTGTCGTCTAGGTCTTCGCCGTCGAGGAAGTGAATGTCTACGTGGTCGCTGTCGATGAAGTGAGTGTCAAAATGTTCGCCGTCTAGGAACTAAGTGTTTGGTGTTGTCTAGGTCTTTGCCATCGAGGAACTAAGTGTTTAGGTATCGTTCAAGTCTTCGCCGTCGAGGAAGTGAATGTCTACGTGGTCGCCGTCAATGAAGTGAGTGTCAAAATATTCGCCGTCAAGGAACCAAGTGTTTGGTGTTGTCTAGGTCTTTGCCATAAAGGAACTAAGTGTTTAGGTGTCGTCCAGGTTTTCGCCGTCAAGGAAGTAAATGTCTAAAAGATTGCCATCAAGGAACTAAATGTCTAGGAGTTGTCTAAACCTTCATTGTCGAGGAAGTAAGTGTCTACGTGTTCGCCGTCGAGAAACTAAGTGTCTAGGTGTTGTCTAAGTCTTCGCCATCGAAGAACTAAATGTTTAGGTGTCGTCCAGTTTTCGTCGTCGAGGAAGTAAATGTCTGAGAGTCGCCTAAGTCTTCGCTGTCGAGGAAGTGAGTGTCTACGTCTTCACCGTCGAGGAACTAAATGTCTAGGTATCGTTTAGGTCTTCGCCGTCGATAAAATAAATGTCTATGAGTTGTCTAGGCCTTCGCTGTCGAGGAAGTGAATGTCTACGTATGCGCCGTCGACGAACTAAGTGTTTACGTGTCATCTAGGTCTTCGCCATCGAGGAAGTGAATATCTATGTGATCGCTGTCGAGGAAGTGAGTGTCTAGGTGTCGTTTAGATCTTCGTCATCGAGGAAATGAATATTTACGTGGTCGCCGTCAAGGAAATGAATGTCTACGTGGTCGCCGTCGAGGAACTAAGTGACTAGGTATCGTCTAGGTCTTCGCCATCAAAGAATTGAATGTCTACGTGATCGCCGTCGAGGAACTAAGTATCTACGCGTTTTCTAAGTCTTCACCATCGAGGAAGTGAATGTTTACGTGGTCGCCATCGAGAAAATGTGTGTCTACGTGTTTACCGTTGAGAAACTAAGTGTCTACGTATTGTCTAGATCTTTGCCGTCGATGAAGCAAATGTCTATGTAGTCGCCGTTAAAGAATTAAGTGTCTTCTAGGTCTCGCCTCACTCTCGCCTTTCTCATCTCTTTTACAGCTCTCTCGTCTTTTTAACAATTTTCTCGTCTCTTCCTCAGAACCCTCATCTCTCTCATGACTCTCTTGACTCTTTAACAATTCTATCGTCTCTTTTTCAGTACTCTCGCCCCTCTTACAACTCTCTCGTCTCTTCTACAGTTTTCTTATCTTTTTCACGGCTCTCTCGTATTCCTCACATCTTTCTCAGCTGTTTCTCTGCTTTCTCATCTCTTTCTCAGAACCCTCATCTCTCTCCCGATTTTTTCGTCTTTTTTACGACTTTCACCTCTCTTTCAACACTCTCGTCTTTCTAACAATTTTCTTGTTTCTTTCTCGGTACCCTTGCTTCTCTCACGGCTCTCTTGTTTTTCTCATGAGTTTCTCGTCTCTCCCACGGCGTTCTTATCTCTGTCACAATTTTCTTGCTCTCACGGTTCTCTCGTTCCTCTCACAGCTTTCGTGTCTCTCTTATGGTCTTAGTGATGATATACGATTCATTTAATCATTAAAATAAAATAAAATGAATATATATATAAATTATATAAAAAATAAAACGAATAGAACATGAAATGAATTAAATAAAAAAATAAGGAATGATATAAGTAAAATAAATACAATCAAATAAATAAACAAATAAAGCATGAAACGAATAAAATGAAAAATAAAATGCAATGAAACAAAAATAAAATGTAATAAAATAAATAAGAAATAAATATTAAAATGCAAAGTAAAAAAGACAAAATAATATAAATATTTTGTATTTGTGTGAATAATAGGTTGTTAGGAATGTAACACTAATAATGACTAAAAAGTAATATTTCTAAAGTAGCTTTGTTTATCTTGATATTTAAACAATAAGGATAAAATGGTTTCGTAAACGCTGTATTTTATTATAATTGATCTAAAAAACCAAATTGGTATTATTTTCAATGTATAATACAATCAATGAAATCATTTTGTAAATATTATACTTCGAAAAAATCTGTTGTATTAAATTTAAAAAAATTCAAATGGTATTATTTTTAATGTATAACACAATCACGCAAAATCATTTTATTATTAATGAAACAAAAACTTAGCAAAAATTAGTGAAATCCGTGGAAAAAAGGCAATAAAAATGTAAAAAAACCGCCAAGTATATTTTTTAACGTTTTTACCTTGAAAAAATTTGTATCAAATTAAAAAAAATGAGACCTTTGTATCATTTTAAATATGTAATACGACTTCGAAAAAAAAACTGTTGTTAAATCATAAAAAAATTTAAGTGTCGTTATCTTCAATATATAACAATCACGGAAAATTATTTTGTAATTAATATACCCCGAAAAAAACTATTATACCGAATTAAACAAACAAATTCCAAAAAAGTTGTATTATCTCTAACGTATACATGATTAAAAAAAAATTTAATACTACCAAAAAGAAGTGAAATCAAAATATTATTTCTAATATATTTATTGTAATTAAATTAAAAACTAAAAAAAAAATATACTTCGAAGAAAAATATTGTATCAAATTAAACAAATAAAATTCAAGTTGTATTATTTTCAATGTATACGTAAAAAATAAAAACAAGAAATGCAATAGATAGCGTAATGAGGACCGCAAAAATTAAAAAGGCAAAATTAAATTTTGATAACAAGTAGCAAATTACGCGACAGAAATATCAAAGATAGGAAGAAATCTCCAGCAACATACTTGGCGCGCCCGTTTTTATATATAAACTTATGGAAATATAATACATGCAATTCATGCTAACAATACATTATTTATTAATAGTTAGTTAATTATTTATTAATAGTTAGTTACATTAATTATTAATATAAATATTTTATGTTAATTAAAAGATTAAATA